TGACTACTAAGTATCTAGCAAACTTCATATTAGTTGGGTGAGATTTTAGATTCCTTCTCAGACCCCACATTTTTATAAACCCCACCCAAGTTCCCATACAACTCCCTCCCACAGGTACATTTAGAACTTATGTATAGGGAAAGTAAGTCCCTAGTTCCCTCCATTTACTAAAGGAAGCTGAGCACAGCTGGTGAAACTATTCACTCCTTATTTCAGTGAATGAATTGAAAATGAAAGTTAAGTGCTCTCCTTCTCTGCTGTATCCTGACTTTCACAAACTGGTGGTGAAACAATTAGGCATAATTTATATTTATTTCCTACTAGCTAAACTCAATACATCTTGCAAGGACTTTCTCGTTTGCTTTGAACTAGACATACGAATAATTCTAGAGAAGAGTTTCTCAAATAGCTATTTCAGCAATAAATTCTTTCTGAAAACTTTGCCTTACAAACATCTAGTAAATTTTTTTTTTCTAAAGACTGGCTAAAACTGCTTTGACTCTCTTTTTGGTTGCAGATTCATTTTAATTTGAATGTTTGGTTAAACCCTATGAGTTTGCAGTGGTAAGATTTGAGCAACCAACTTGCCAAGTCAGTGCTCATTACTGTGCATGCTCCCCTCTGTAGATGTACCAGGGCTGATAGGTTTAACCCAAACTAACACTTAGAAATAATGTATGAGATCTATGCAGTAGACAAGGCAGAGTCTAATAATCCAGTGCCTTTTTCCTTTTATTACTCTCATCTGACTTTGAATAACGTAAATGTTATTTTCTCTAATAAAGGAGAATAAATACATTTCACTTAAAAGGTTGTTTTTTTTTTTTTTTGAGGCTTTTTAACTTTACCAAGTTAAAGTAACTTTGCTTCTCCTGAAAATGTTTTTCTTCTAGCCTTGCATCCAGTAATCACTTCTGTAGGGAGGCATAAATAATGTCAGTTGAATAATATGGGTCTTTTTGAAGTGTTAGTCACCATTTGGAGGAGACACAGGTTAGAACAGTTTATATGTTAAAATGAATTAGTAGTAATTGATTTACCATAAACATGTGGAATTCTAGTCCAAAGTGTTTATTCAATGCAGACTATGCAGAATGGCTGAATCATAAGTATATTAAAGGCATCTCTGAAAGGGTTTTTTTTTTTTTTTGGTTCTCTTTTCAGTTTTGTTTATGTTTTAACTTCAGTAGGATTTACAGATGAAATATCAGCTGGCTAAAATAACTGCTTAAATCCTTTACAGAAATGACCAAAACATAGTGGTATTACTTCATAAATTTTAGTAATTTCTTCTCAGAATATATAGCTCCCATGCATTTCCATAATATGACTGCTGTTAAAAAGTTTTGGAAATAGAAGTACCCCTACTTTGACAAGTCACATGGGGCCAGTTGGTGGAAAAGAAGATGCATTTGGAAACATATTTGGAGTTTCTCTTTGGAGATCCAAATGCACAGAAGAGTGAAAGCTAAGGGCAGTTTTGGAGAAGATGGGCAATGGCACAATAGGAAGATTATCTTTTAACATCGAATGTATAATGTCTTATCACATTTTGTGTTTGATGAATGAATAAAAAATATATTCTTTGTAAGATTGGGAGTTTTCAAGTTTTAGTAACAGATACTTGACAAACTATTTATAAATAAGGTATAAAATTAAAGCAATAAAATACATTAAAAACTGATTATAATGTATTACTTTACCTTCTGTCACCATTCTCAAAACTTTGCTTCATTATAAAGTAAATGATATCCTGGGGTCAACAAGTCCTTGTTATATATACCTTTTTAAATACCATTAATATATAGTGAAATAAACTGTAGCTACAAGGAAATTAAATAATTCTCTTCTAATTCTTAATATCCTGTGTAATTACAGTCTCTGTACTTTCATGATTTGCAAGCGATTAAGAATTAATCTCATGCTCACTGGTAAAAATTTTTTGTTGTGTTGGTATTGAAGTATTTCATGATAACCACCAGAGGGCATTACAAAATAAAAAAGTATTAGGCAAAGTAAAGAAAGACTTTATTTACATTCTAAAGAATTAAGATCCATTTCGCTCTGCTTTGGACCACAAAATTAATTTTAGATTGTACAATTCATGTCTCATTTAGATCAGAGGGAAGTGTAATGGACAGGACTAAAGATGCAACATTATTAACTAGTTGAAAGTAATGCTCATGAGTTTGGTTGCTTTTCTATAAAAATCCAAAAATCTCTGGAAAGTGGAAATATTTTTTAAAAATCATTTTATCACTAAAACTCATTTGGTGGTCACACCTGATTTCCTAGACAGACTTTTATAAATACTGTGTAGCCTGTCTTCATCCCACTTAGTATTAATGCTGATAGACTTGGCTGAGAAATGTTAATAATGTATTTGATTCCAGGTGCCGCTCAAAACCATATTAGCGTATGAGCCATAAATACTTTATAAAAAATCTGAAAAATGCCAAATTTGAAACATTTGCCCCACTACTTCCACATAAGTGAATGCTGTCTGTAGTAACTGATATAAGTCCCATCCAAAGGGGATATAAAGAAGACAGTGGCAGTGTCAGTCAGCATTGAAGGAAGTCCTCTCCTGGAGAAAAGGGGTAGCTCAATTTGTTGAGGCTGCTATAACAAAATACCATAGACTGGGGTAGCTTATAAATACCAGACACTTGTTTCTCACAGTTCTGAAGGCAGGATGTAAGATCAGGGTGCCAGCAGAGCTGGGTTCTGGTGAAGATTCTCTTCCAGGATGCAGACTGCTATCTTCTTGCTATGTCCACTAGTCTTTCTGGCACTGAATACCATTTATGAGGGTTCCATCCCTGATAATTATAACCTATGGCACAACTTCCTAATACCATCACATTGCATTAAAAGCTGCATCTAAACTGACAGGCCTTCACAGACATCCTGGCTTTTGAGCTGAATCAATAACTGGATAGAGGAAGATTTGAGTACTTTCTATATGAAAAAGTTGTGCAGATACTTAGTAGCAAGAGACAGGCTAAGCTGCTAGTAGCAACCAAAATCCTTTATCTGTTTCCATTTTAATAAATTTGTAGCTAGGCAGTTTCCCAGCCACAGCTCTGTCTAGAAGTAATTAAGTCTCCACATGATGGGAATGCAAAAAGAAATGGGTCATTTCAAGGCCCAGCCCATAAAAACCTGACCTTTGTGCACATTTTTTTTTTCCAAATCAGAATCATATGTGAAGTGACTTAAGAATCCATGAATGAAATGGTAGAGCCAACCTTAACCTAATAAGTGTGAATATTTGTGTGAGGCGCAAAACCTGCTAGCCTGTAATGCTCTCACTTCTGAACCACTGTTGGGAGAGAAGCTTCTGTATCATTCTTTATCATTGGGTCTGTTTGTTATAGGAGCTTACCTAACTTAAAAAATTTAACTGCCTTTCCCCTAGAGAGAGATCTTGGATTCTTTCAACAATTTTGCTTCTATTTTTTAAAACTAATGTATAATGTCCATTAACAAATACATCTCCCCAAACATTCAGTAACCAGGTACTTACTATCTGTAATTTACCCTGTGGAGCCACCCTGAATAGACCATATATCTATTATACCCCATTCATTTAAGCAATTGTATCAAAATACACACCATCTCTGAAATAGCTTTTTATTAAACAGCAAAGCAGAACTGTAACACAATTTTAAATATCTGTAAATTAGGTCACAAAAGGGATGCAAAATGTTTGCAGTTTAATTATATATTCATACAGCTAAAGTCACATATCAAATCTTACACTAATACATAAGATTATTTCATGATTAAAAGTAGTCCAAATCTAATAATCATAAGCTATATTAGTGGGTCTCTTTTCCTATTATCTTAATATTATTTCCAATACTGATTCCCTTACCAAATAAACTAAAAACTAAATTTTAAAAAATTTTAAAGAATGACTAAACCTCTGCAAACTAAATGGCAGAATTTACAGAAAATTCTGGGAGAATAAGTGAGCTAAAATACTAAGATTAAAATTAGCATTATTGTACATGTATACTCTACCATGTGTTCATGATTCTGTTACTAATAAATTCTCAAAGAATTTTGCAAGAGTTGATTTATTGGGTAAATGTCCTTGAGACCAAATGATAACTGGTCTCCCTATGTAGCTTACATAAAGTTATTCAAACTTAATGCACTTCCATATCTATCTTTTGTCCGCCAAAAGTCTATTCTGCCAGAGAGAACACAAATCTGGAGTGAAAGCATTTGGAGTAGTATTTACCAAGTTCTTTCCTGCCCATTTCTATTTTTTCTCAAGATAGATCTATCTTGAACGTACATACATGACCAGAACTCCTATCTTTTCAGGTCCCAAGTGGGTTATTTTGTGCAAAAGGAAGTTTTAAACAAATCTTCCCAGTATGAGACCATTTTTATAGTTTCAGTCCATCTTCAATTGCTTAAAGAGAAACCATCAATCCTATCTTATTATTAAATACCACACAGGACAAGCCCTAGCTAAGACAGTATCTTATTTTGGTTAAGTTTCAACAATTAGAGTCATGTTACTCTCATCAGTGATTAACTATTAAAATTACTTTTACAAATGTGAAATTTTTTTTCCTTAGGGGAAGGGAAATGGGAAGGAAGAGGCAAATGGAGAAGAGGCACAAGATGGTGGACAGGGTACATAAAGCTGTGCATTCAGTACATGATTTTGGTCACTTTTTCACAACATGGTGGTTATTTTCGTATATATTTTACTAAGCCTATATAATAAAAGACAGTGCTAAACCTATATATCAAAGCAAATTTGATAAAACATTCATCTTCAAGTCTCATAAATATATGCAGTTCTAATTATAAAGTCTCTACAATACATTTGCACATTTTCATAGACTAACATAATACACAAACTCTCTTGTTATGCAGTTAATTTTGCCTAGATCTGCCATTATCTTCATAAATATTCAATGAAGCCACAAACAAAGGTACTGAAACTTTTGAAATCTATCCAAGTTTTAAAGGGGGAAAAAAAAAAACTGGTCAGCAGCAATTCCTTAAAACAGAAGGGAAACCAATCCCTTACTTTCTTTTGCTTTTTGTGTCAGTTGTTTGAAAAACACTAGAAGCAGACATGAGGTTTTCTATATATTGTCCAAGAACTTGGTTTTCTGATTTTAGCTTCAGATTTTCTTCTTTAACTGCATCTACTCTTGCAGAGAGATCTATTTAAAGAAAAAAAATGGCCATTATCAATAAAATGATGCTAATGACTTCCTATTACAAAATGCTAAAGATTCATTATTAAAAGCAAGATCAAAGTGAGGGTATAGCTCAGAGGCAGAGTATTTGTTCAGCACACCCTAGGCTCTGGGTTCAGTCCACAGCAGGGCAAAAAAGATATCAGATTATTTGTTTAAGGCAAATAAAGATGAAACTATGTCTTTACTAGAAATATTTAAGATATGTAATAATATAACTGAATTCATACACTGGATATAGGAAGTCTGTTTCCAAGCCAGAAATCATTTTGTATTTTCACATTAGCAAAAAATTCAAAAAGATGTGAGTTCTCATGATAAAATTTAACAAATAGTTACTGGGTGCCCCCAAATAGCCAAGCACTGTTCTAGAAACAACAGCAGAAGGGTCCATGTGGATACATATGCACCAGGGGACACAGTGAAGATCAGGAGCAAACAATCAAATATATAGAATGTCACACAGTTAAGAGTTGGGCTGGAGAAAAAGCAAGAAAGGCAAGGGTCATAAGAAGCAGTTGAGAAGTTGCTTTTCAGGGTTAACTATTTTGTATTTTGGTAAAGGGAATTTGAATGGAGACTTAAAGGAAATGCCAGAATGAGCCATACAGATACACAACTAAGGGAAGAAGACTGAGGGAAACAGTTACTTCTCCAAGTAGGGGAGCTTGGCATTTTGAAGAACAGGAAGGATCCTAGATAGAGATGGAACATATAAGGCAGAGAGAATAACATGACTCTAAAGGTAACCGGGAAGTCACAGACATTGGCTGTTGTTAATTCTGTCAAGTGGGAAGCCAATGGAAGGTTCCAAGTGACAAAGTCTGTACAATCAAGTGCCAAGGGTCGGGGGAGACCCTCATACATTAAACACCAAAAGATAGTTCAGTGGCAGTTATTAATTTATGCAATGCATTTAAAAAGTGAAAAAAATCAGATCATTTTCCTTTTAATTTCTGAGGTTAATATGACATGTTCACTTTACTGTAAGCTTTATTAAATGTGGACTTAGTTACACATTGCCAGGACTTGAAAAGAATTCTCATGTTAAACAGCATCATGTTGGACATTAAAGGGAAACAGAATGTTTGATGTCCCTTGAAGCGTATATGTTCTTTACAACCACCAGCCAAAGCTACTGGCAGGAGGAAGGAAAAAAACTATTAAAATGGACTTTGGTTTATGCTTTTTCAAATTATTCACACTAACAACTTAGCAACGTAAATGCTTAAAATTTCAATTAAGCAGATATCATTCATGAAAACTACAAAATGCAAGCTAACCTTCAAGTGTGTGTTGAAGTTCCAACACTTGATTAATAAGTCGTGTTTTTTCTTCAAGTTCCACCTGATTTTCAGCATCAACTGCTGTAATGAGAAGGTTCACATTTATTATTCATTAACATTAGATATCATTTGTTTAGTGTAGCACTTAAAAATCTACAAAACATTTTCTATTCCTTATCTCAACTGACTTGTACAAGAGCCCACAAAGTAAAAAGTTAAATCCCTACAATGCAGTTGAGGACACCAAGGTGAAAGTGAAAAATGATTTGCCAACTTCTCAGTTAAAGTTAGATTATTTCTACAACCAAATGGGATATAAATAAGTAAATTAGCCAAGACCCAAACCTTCTTAAATTGTTTCTCTGCTCTTCCCATTGTTTAATAAAGCAAAAGCAACCAACGAAACAACAACAAACCCCAGAAACACATAAAAAAGCAAAGGAAGAACACACCATCCATGTCAGCACTCATCATCTTGGGTAAAAAACTTTTAGATTTTCGATGTAAAATTCTTGATGAATGATCTACAATAAGAAAAAGAAATATGAACACAATAAAATATGTTTATTTTTAAAAAGATGAAGACAGTCAAATATAGTTTACTGTTTCTAAGAAAAAAATAAACTCCCACAGGTAAATAAAAGAATACAGACAGATTAAAAAGAAAGTATTAAGGAGAGAAAATATTGAGCTTCTTGGTAATCAAAAGAAATTTTTTTTTTTTCTTTTTGGACCGCGGGTTAGGGGGTTGATAGGGATTGAACCCAGGGCCTTATGCTTCCGAGGCAAGCACTCTACCAACTAAGTTACATCCCCAGCCCAAAGAAATTCATTTTTAAAAGGTAAGATTAATGATGAAATGATAAAATATGAAAATACTGAACACAGGCTTAAATGTGCAATCTTTTGAGGAATCAGAATAATAATAAACAAGATTCATAAAGACATTTAGAACCTTTTTTATGAAATAATTTACTTTTAGGAGCTCATACTAAAGACAATTACAAAGAAGGAAAAATTATACACATAAAAATATTTACTTCAATCTTATTTACAACCCAGTATATCAGAAACAATGTAACTAGTAAATTACACTTGCAATTTATAATGGAATGGCTACTAAAAATAATTATGATTACTAAAATAACATGAAAAAATGTTCACAAAATTATATATTCAACTAATGTAAATTACATAAAATACACAAATATAAATAAAGAAACACAAAAATGAAAAAAAGCTCTTACAATTAGGGATTATAGCAAAGAAGAAGACAAATCTTTTTCAAAATATTCTTCATTAAATACTGTTTCACATATGTTGCTTAACTTTTTTTTGCACATGATACTAAAGAAAAATATTAGATATCCGAAACACTAATACGGAAGACATTTTTAAAAATCCAATTTCACCTGGTTATGGTTAAACCAAAACAGATTAATCAGGATGTAGATTATTAATAAGAAAATGAATAGTAACATTTCATTATTTTAATAAAAACCTCCAAAACATTAAAGCACAAAATTTCTATGAAACATGTTCTGCTCTATTAATAACCATTTCACATACAGTATGCTCAAGTTTTTAATGCTACCAGAATATTAATGAAAATAGATTTCTTTGTAACCAACCTGCACTGAAGCAACCTAGACCTATTTTGTCAATGTTCCTCTTTCAACAAGTATTTACTGAATACTAATATACCCAAGGCATTGTTAGGTCTCCATATGCTAAGCAGTAGAACCCAGACCTACTGAACAAAGATGCATGCATACCAAAATTAGAATCACAATCAATAGAAATCAGTGTACTATTTATTATTCCCTCACATCAATTAATACAATTATGTTATACTTCAGTTATTAGCATGAACATGGAAACAATGTCAAGTGTACAAATCTATAAACTACTTCTTGAGTAAGATACCAGTCTAAAAAAGTGAATAAACATCCTTTTCATAACATTATTAAAGGACCACAATCAACTCAATGATGCATAAAAAACCTATTCTGAGTCTTACTGCATCTTTCCATTTACCCAAACAGCACTTGGCGCAGGTACTTTCTTCTACCTTATGTTTTTTTGAGACAAGTTCTCTCACTAAGTTGCCCAGGCTGGTTTTGAACTCAACAGTCTTCCTGCCTCAGCCTCTCAGATGGCTGAGCACAGGGCACATATCATTGCACTTGGCCTTTTCCACCTGTTTTTTATATGGTTTTAGTTTTCAGGGTCTCTGCACTTCGGAGAGGTATATATACATCTACCTAAATTCAAATAGAATGAGTATCAAATTTTTTTTCAAAAATTCTTTTTAATGCTATTCAATCTATTGTAGTTCTGAAGACCATACTTCAAAAATTATTCCTTACCAATTGTCTTTTTTGATTTTCTAATTCACTTAGAATTGTAAGCATTTCTTGGGTACAACATGTGAAATATATGTAAATTGCGTAATGACTAAATCTAGCTAATTAATGTGCATTTCCTCACAGAGGTCTTTTCTGTGGTAGGAACACTTAACATCACTCTTAAAATGAAAACTTGATTAAATACCTTCCTGAGAGAAGAGCACACTTCTAACAAATCACTAGTCACCCTCACTTTTAATACTGTTTCAGCACTGAACTGGCTGGGATAAGTCTGGCAGAGGTGGGAAGCAACAGCTGACACAGCAGGCCATCTGGGAGTACTGGGCAACAGCGAACTGCCAATCCAACTGTGGCCCTTATAGAGAGAAAAATAACAGGGCTTCAAATTTCAAATGTCCATTGTTTTTAAGAATATAAGTAAGAGCAGAATTTCCATGACTTCTGAGAAAAGTTACAAGAGATACAAGCACCAGGTAACCAATATTCTGATTTTGAAATCAGACATCATACAGGAATGGAGTATTCTTTCTTCTCTGCGTATATTTCAATAAAATATTAAAATTAAAGTAAAAAGCCTTCTACAAAAGCACAAGTGTTCCATATTGACCACAGGAAGTAAAGAAAAAGTATAGTTTCTGCAATTTTGCATCATACAATCCAAACAACAGAAAGTCTATACATGACTTCTCAATGGTTTGACTTCATCTGAAAAAGTGAAAGGGAAAAAAGTCAGAAAAGCAGAGTCAAGAGGGCTTATTAGAGGGTAAATTCCTCTTACAAACATATTCATGGCTGAGGGGGCAGGGGTGCAGAAGTAGTGCCACAGGACAGTGCTCCAGGACATACCTCACAATCCCAAAGGTCACTATTCACATCACAGTCTTGTTTGGCCCATGACCTGGGCAATACAATACAGAGCCTGCTGGATTGTATGTGGTGTCCCTATGCAAAGGGTATTAGTTTTAATAAAGTGAACCACAGCATTATTCATTGCCTTTTTACAACAATAAAAAGTAGCATTTTTTTTTTGTGATGTGATTAAAAAGAATGGCCTCAAAATGCTATTACTGAGTGGTCTTTCAGTAGGTTTAAAGCAATAAACAGATTTATTTTACATATATGATCAAAAGATTAGTTCTTTATGTCAAAGTATTTTAGTCTATTTTCTTTCAATATAGGATCAATCCTCAAACTTCACAATGTCTACATTGGTATTGAACTACATCCTAATACAATATTGCAATTTTTCAACTATAAAATCCTTTTTTATCTATAGTTGCCATCACATCAATATAATTCCACGCCAAATGTGCTCCTAAAAGTTTATTTTAAATTCCTGCTATAAACATGAATACAACTGAAGAGAATCCAGACCAAGGTGCAAATATGGAAATGAATTTGGGGTGCTGAGGCTATTGTTTATCCTAAACCCATCTTAGCTCTGAAATGGACATGGCTGAGATTTCTCAGGTCAGATATTTTAAAACTCTTCTCAAAAATTACAGAAAATTATGGTGCCTATCTTTAGCCTTGGTTAGTAGAAGAGAAATTGAAAATTATTTTTGATAATTATCTTCATATTGGGAAGTAGAATGTAAGAAGAAAATAAGAATTATGAAATGTGGCAAGCATTAGGACAAGATCCACTTAAATAACTGTCTTTCCTATGCCCATGGATCAAATTATGACATACTACCATCTTACCAAATATTCCTTCTTGTATAGTACTCCTTCTAAAGAGAAAGTTTAGCATACAGATTAAGAATGTGGTTTTAACTGATCTTGATTCAAATCCTACCTCTGCTATTTATTATCTCTGGAAATAAAAGATAAGATCTCATACTGTTTTATTACCTGTAAAATGGAAATAACAAATATAAATGCAACTCTTGGTTTGTTGTGAGAATTTGATGAGTTGATACATATAAAACATATAATACTTCTGTACATAGTAGGCACTCAATAATTATTAGCTATTATCTTTACTTTTTAGCACTAGTTTGGGTCACAAAAAGAATTTTAGAAAAACTATCTGGTCCAGCTGCCCCATTTTACAAATAAAGAAACCAAGGTCAAAGACAACAATGGCTTACTGGAGATCACAACATTTATCCACAGAGTCTAGACTACAGCCAATATTCCAGTCTGTCTTTTTCTACCATTCCACCTCAACTATGCTCACATTTCAGATTTGAAATTTTGAGAAAACCTAATATTCCATTCAACTTCAACCATTCAACTTTCTGCATATAAAATTGATTTTCATCATCTGTCACTTATTTACTAGTGAACTGCTTAGATTTCAGCAGAATCTTTGTGCACTAACATGCTAAACACTTTATATCATTTCATCAAATCTACAGAGGAAATTGCAATCTACAGATGTGGTTACTAAATGTATCTACCTTATGTTTAACAATATCTTAAGTCATTTATTTATTTTTGTACTGGAGAATGAACTCAGGGGCATTCAACCACTGAGCCACATTCCCAGCCCTACTTTGTATTTTATTTAGAGACAGGGTCTCACTGAGTTGCTTATCGCGTCGCTTTTGCTGAGGCTGGCTCGCAATCCTCCTGCCTCAGCCTCCCAAGACGCTGGGATTACAGGCGCGTGCCACCATGCCCTGCTGACAATGTCTATATCAAAAATCTGAACTCAAATCTACCTGTGCAGTTCCCTTTCCCACTGTGCACTGGAAGAAAACTTTATTATAATCTTAATCTAAGGTTGCCAAACATTTTGCAACCAACTTCTTGGGAGTTTCCTACTAAGCGGCTGAAGGTAAATCTCATTCACTTCAAGCTGCATCAGCTTCATCATGCTTTCTTCGGATCTGTTCAAGTTCTCCTAGTGACTGACTTTCTCAGGGTAGGTAATTCCAATTTCAAATTCCACAAGATCAAGTAACTTTTCAGTGAGGACTGAATTAAGCTAGATTCCCCCGGGGAATAACAACAGCTAGCTATATTAAGCTTAATCAATAAGTAGTACTAAGATTTCTAGGTATAGTTTTTGGGTCCACAGGTATGGGCAGATATGGTACTGGGAACATCCAGAATCCTTAATAGTGTTACATCACAGCCCGAGATTGATACATTGTAAAACAGAAGTCTTGCCTTTCAGGAATGTATGCTCTTGCTCCTGTCCAAATCTTACTCTCCAAAACTTGTTCAGTAGACTCTGGAGAGAAGCCAAGGAAGAAACAAACCCAGGTGCTGTTTTCAGCTCCTGGAAAGATGTCCCATCTCTTATTTCACCGCTAATCGGCCTCCCTTCCCACCCGGGAGTCCTCTCCCATCATCCGGGTTCTCCTAGAGCAGCCATGGGCAAGTCTAGGCGTGTCGGGTCCTATCCCACCCAAACGGCCCTCCTACAGTTCCATTCCTGAGCGCAAAGCTGGACAAGGGCCCCGAATCAAGAGTGCAGGGAGACAGCAGCAGGATGTCAGCATCAGGGACCGCCGGCGGCCCTGTCCCAAAGGAGCTTCTGGGCCTGATAATGAGAAAATGAGAAGAGGATGCGCAAGGGTTCTGCAGGGAGCCAGGCCTCCGCCGCCCACCGAAGCCAAGAACCGAGGCCGCGACCAGTCCAGTCCAGCCCGCCCCGCCCTCCAGACCATCGGCGGTACCGAGGCCGACATCCTAATCCCTGGGCCCGGCCCTCGGCTGCCCAGGACCGCCCTCACCTTCCGTTTGAGGCGCTGGGAGGGGGTGGGATCAGGAGGATGTCTCAGGCCGGGACACCTGGACCAACTGACACCGGCAGCTCCGCCCTCTTCGCCGACAGAGCGTGCGCTGAAAAAGGAGCCCCGCTCCACCCAGCCCCGTCGCCCGCCAATCACGAATCGGGATTGCACGCTTGCGCATTAGCAGCCCGCCGTCCCAACCGTCCTATCACAAAGTGAGGGAGCATAACAAAAGGAACTGACGCCCAATCAAGATTGAGCCCGTTGTGGGCGGGCCCGGGAATAGCAACAGCCAATGGCAGTATAGGAACGTAGCTACTCCTGAGAAAGTGGGTCCCTGCCAAGCAGTTCTGGTCTCAGCTGGACCCTAAACACTGGGGTCAGAAATCTGGGAGGATAATCTTGACTTCTGTGAGGAAGGAGGTTGGTCTAACCAAACGCTAGGCGAGAAGGAAGGCGTTCAAATTCAAGAAAAGAGTGTTTGGGGGCAGGATAGAAAAAGGAAACCAACGCAGTTCCTCGATTCTAAAAAGCAGATTTTTCCTATTCATTCATTCATTCATTCATTATTTTTTTAGTTTCCCAAATCAGAAATCTCATAAAGTGTACCGCTAATGAAATGTTTCTCTCCGTACTCCTCCTTCCATGTATTAAAATCTATAGTGCTCCTGACCATTTAATGATTGAAGAAATACCTAGTAGTACTTTGATATAGCCCCTTTGCTTGTCTTATCTCCTTTGATCCTCCCAGCAACCCACAGAAAAACTTGAAGCTTAAGAATAAAGACTTTTCTTGTTCAAGGTCATACGTGTGGTACGAAATACTCTGTGCCAGACTTAGGAGGTTTGCGACACCTTTCTTGGTAATATCCATTGAGCACAGGGTAGATATCACGCGATACTAAGATACATTCTTGTTTTGACTTCTTGCAATCTCCTGAGCTGTAGGGGTAAGCCTTTTTGTCTGCCCTGTTCTTGGCTTTGTTCTTCTGGCAGAGCTTTTTGACACTTAGCGTTAATCCTTTTAAGGACTACATGGGGGGGGGGGGGGGGGGAGTCTTCCATTTGGTGTTTGGAAACTACACATTTGGCTGTTACTAAAACACAGTTTTAAAAAATTTACTAGAATGCATCGCAGTATGTAAATAAATGAATGGGGGGGAAAAATCCAACAAATCAAAGAAGTGCCAAGAAGAGTAAAAGAAAATGGAAGCAGTATTTAAAAAATAATAGCTAAGAATTTCCCAAGATTTTTAAAAATCTGACTTCTCAGATTAAAGAAGTACTTTTTCTTGAGGAAGATTAATATAAGGAATTCCATGTAGAGGTGAAACTATTGCAGAACCAACGAAAAGTATTAAAATTGCTTTTTTTTGGCTAGAACATGTTGTTTTAAAAAAATATCTTTTTTTCAGTTGTGGTAAAAATACATAGCAGAAAATTGACCGTCATAACCATTTTTTTTTTTTAAGTTCAATGGTATTAACTTCTTTCACATTGTTGTGTAACCAATATTCAGAACTCTTCATCTTCCCACCAACTGAAAGTCTCACCAAACAACTCCCCATTTCCCACAACTCTTTCTTCCTATATGAGTTTGGCTACACTAAGTACCTACTGGGGTCATTGCCTTCAATGTTCATCCTGGTTGTAGCATAAGGTAGAATGTCTTCTTAAGTCTGAATAATTTGGGCCACATTTTGCTTATCTCTTCCTCTGTGGAGAGATACTTAAGAGTGCTTCCACCTTTTGGCTATTCCCAGTAATGCTGCTGTGTGCAGATATATCAAGACCTTATTTTCAGTTTTTTCAGTATATATCCAGAGGTGAAATTGCTGAGTCATATGGTAATTCTATTTGAAAGAAAATTCATAGTATTGACACGAGTAGACAAAAATAAAACTAGAAAAAATACCTAGAAGTTGGTATAAGCTAAAGATACCTGGACAGGAATAAATGTTGATAAAGTAGTGGGAAAGTATTATTATTCATTACTGTTGAGAGAATAAATTAGTACCATACCTGTTCCTTAGTTGTTGAAAACACAAATTATAGTGGTTCTAGTTAAATTGGCTCTTCATATAAAAATATAAAATCAGAACCTGATCTTACACCAAAACTAAATTCCAAAAGAAGTATGACCTAAATATTAAAAAACAAAACCCTAAAATTTTAGAAGAAAACAACCTGTGACATTATCACAGGGAAGACAAACCAGCATCAGGAAATAAGGTTTAAATTTTTGATTATTTTTAAATTTAAATGTTTTATAAACAGAATAAAAGCCATCTTTAATCAGGTTTAAAATAAGACAGGCTGGGAGAATATAGAAAACTGAAAATATATCAGTAAGAAATAGACAAGATAAATATGTGAAAATAATAAACATACCTGTTTATGTAGGTCTATTTACCTACATAAAGAAAGAGTAGGTACATTTACCTACTCACAAAAGAAAACTGAATGGCTAGAAAGGTTTGCTATGTTTTAAATATTACTTTCACTAGTAACCAGGGAAATTCATGTGAAAATACTGAGATAAAGGGATCAATTCATCAAGAAAATGCAAAAATTGATAGAAGTGAAATAATAAACTAAACCCCCAATGATAATTGGACAGTTTATCACTCTCTGCACTTTAATTTGTAAAACAATTATACAGAAAATTGGTCAGGATAAAGAATACAGATCTCAAACTTCTCTGTACATTAGAATCAATGGGAATCTCTTAATGATTACAATGAGCAGGTGATACCCCTAATTAAATCAAAACTCCAGGAGTCAGATACAAGCATTAGTGCTTTTAGAAGCTACAAAGGTGATTTGTATAAAGAACTGGCAAATATTCAAATTATTACTACAGAAGACCTAAAAAATACTATCAACTAACTTGCCCTAACTGACATTTACAGACCATCCTACCCCATGACTGAAGAGCAAGCTTTCTTTCAAATGTACATCTCCCAAATGGATGCTTAAAAAGCAAAGCTCAATAAATTTAAAATAAAGTCATACAAATTATTTTCTCTGCTCAGAAAGGAACTAGAAGTCAATAACAACAAAATATTCATAAATCTCCCAAGTATATAATCACAACCCTAAGTTGGAAATCAAACTGTGCAATTCTTAAAAAAAAAAAAAAAAAAAAAAAAAAAAAAAAATCAATCACAAGAAAAACTAGAAACTAAATTAAATTTAAATGTATATATGTCAAAATTTTCAGAATATTGCTAAAATAATATTTAAATTTTTTCCTTTTACTATTATATGCTTATGTGAGATAAACAAGGAAAATATCAAATCAAGAATCTAAGTGTTCACTTTAAGAAACTAGGAAAAGAAGAACCAATCAAACTCAAAGCAAGAAAGCAGGCAGATAGGATTAAATAATATAGATAAAAACTTAGGCCTGGATCTTCATAGTATGGAGGATGCTAGGTTCGCTGCATCTATTATTTTGCTCAGTCCTCAAATAACACAATCAGCTAGGTATCAGGAACTCTATTTTACAGATGAGGAAATCAAGGCTTAAGGAGTGTTTTCTCCAGTATCATATAGCTAATAAAAGAATGAATTCAAATGTATCTTTTTATTTGAAAAATGGAAATCATTAAACATACTTTATTGAATTGTTAACATTGTTAGAATTAAGTAAAAATAAAGCACTGCAAACTGAAATAACTTTGGAATCATAACCCTAAGGAGATGGATTGGAACATGTAGTCACCTCAGCCTGAATAACTCCTGTTCCTACTAAAACCAAAATATTAATGTTCTCCATAGAATTTAAACAAGGCCCACAACACCCTAGTCAAAAGGTTCAGGAGCCAATCCACAATTATGCAGCTTATAAAGAGCCATGTTGCTGGGCATGGTGATGCATGCCTGTAATCCCATTGGCTTGGGAGGTTGAGGCAGGAGGATAGTAAGTTCAAAGCAAGCCTCAGAAGCAGAGAGGTGCTAAGCAACTCAGTGAGAATCTGTCTTTAAATAAAATACAAAATAGGTCTGGGGGTGTGGCTCAGCGGTTGAGTGCCCCTGAGTTGAATCCCTGGTACCAAATTTTAAAAAATTAAATTAAAAAGAGCCATGGAAACTTCAATTCCCCACAAAGTAACAATCAACAGATACCAATACTGTGATGACACAACTGTTGAAATCATCTAGAACTGGCCTTAAACAGCTATTACAAAAATACTTGCACACTTAGTCATGAAAAAAAAAAACCCAAACAGAAATTATAATTGGAAGTATAAACAACACAAAGAACAAATAAAATAAGAATCAAGTGGCAATTTTAGAACTGAAAAAAAGATTTAATTAATTTTTAAAATTTTAATGAAATGTAAACCTCTTTGCAAAGAATCGTGGCAGGATGGAGTGAAAGAAAATGGGTGAATTTGGGGATCTTGGTAGAAATCATCCAATCTGAACAACAAAGAGAGAAATTATTGGGAAAAATAGGAACAAAGTCTTAGGAGTCTCAGATAAGAAAAAAAAAAGATGTAATATTTGTATCAGAGACCCAGAAGAGAGGGGTAAAGAGTGTGGTATGGGGGGCTGGGGATGTGGCTCAAGCGGTAGCACGCTCGCCTGGCGTGCGTGCGGCCCGGGTTCGATCCTCAGCACCACATACAAACAAAGATGTTGTGTCCGCTGAAAACTAAAAAATAAATATTAAAAAAAATTCTCTCTCTCTCTCCCTCTCTCTCACTCTCTCTTAAAAAAAAAAAAAGAGAAGAGAGAAGAGTGTGGTATGAAAATATTTGAAGAAATATTGCCTTTCCAAATTTGGCAAAAGACTATTGCATTAGTGGGAGGAGGTTATTAAAGTGTCTAAAAAGGCTTCTAAGGAGAAGAATGTGAAAAAGAAGATGGAGAAAAAATGATTTATACATGGAGCATCAATATCACTAACATCACAAAGAAAGATACCAGTAGATGTCATTTTTCTTTCTAATGAAAGAAGAATACATTGCCACCTATGTAGAAAACTAGGTTTGTATTTAAAAAAGAAAAAAAGCTGCAAACTGACTTTATCAAGCCCATAAAGTAGCAATACAAAGGACAGGGAAATATGTTAAGTCCATCACCTTGGATAAAATTAGCAAAATTTTGCTAAGAGAAGCACTGCCAGACAAAACAAAACAAAAACAAAAACAACAACAACAACAACAACAA